GCTAATAACTAACGTTCTATTAATAGAAAGCGCACGGGGGCGTACTCCCTTTTCCACGGATCGATTGAACGAACGGCCGGCCGGCCGATCGATCGATCGATCGATCGAGCGAGCGAGCGAGCGAGCGAGCGAACGATCGATCGGAGCCGGCTCCGATCTCGCGACACTCGTATTGTGCGTGCATGTATGATCGCTCGCCCGTGTGCGTACGCTTCGCGCGTGGGTGGACCGCATTTTTCGCGACCGGCGTTGACTGCTCGTCGCGCATACGTTGCATACACGGCTACACGGCGTGATAACGAAGGCTTAACGTTGATTTAGGACTCATTGAGCTCGCGGCTCGCGGTTCGTTTCGACCGCGTCGAAACCTCCTCGAAGTCGGCCCCCTTCCCCCTCCGCCGTTCGGGAGGAAGTTCGCCTCTCTTGAGCCGGCAGGACCGAATGAGCAAACGCGAGCTTATGGGATTATTCAACACTCGTGTTGCATGAATTTTTCATCACTGATGAAACAAATGTTATACTCCGTGAAGAGAAAATCGTGGCGTTGTTAACTTAATATTTAGCTATCAGGATCACACACACACACACACACACACACATGAGGGAGAAGAAGGAAAGAAAAATAAAAGCAGTATCAATCGAACAAGTCCAGGCTTGTTCAGCAAACAATTTGCTTGTCGATATCCGCAAATGAGATTTCTGGAAACAAGAAAAAGAAAGCAAGGGGAAACGAGCGATTGTTCTCATGAGCACTCCTCGGAATGTTTTTCTTCAGATGGCGTGCCGCCATCGATCGTCCACGATTTGATCACGCGGGATTCACGTTTGATCAGCAAACAATAACTTTAATAACTTCAATAAATAATCCAACGAACAAAGCCGACCTCGCCGACTCGGTCGTGCTGGCTACGAGAGAGGCGTGCATTTCGACCGACAAACCTTCGACGTCTCTTCGACGCGAGTCGAATCCCGAACGAAGATTCGCCCGATGAAAGAACTCGCTTCCTTCGCCATATTTCACCGTTGGGAATAATCGCGAGTAATAACGCGACCGTGAAATCCAGCTCGAATGTGATCTCGTCCGTTCGGGACGCGATTCAACGAAGCCGCCGCGTGTCTCTCGCCAGCGAGGAACGAAGGAAGAGAGCGCTTCGAGTTCCGCGCCGCCCTCCCCCCTCTCTCTCTCTCTCTCTCTCTCCCTCTCCCGCCCCTCTCCTTCCTTCTTTCTTTTATCGCCGAGGGTACCTATGCATTAGCCACTTAAGTTAACTTAACCACTTAACTTATTGTCAATCGCGCGAGATGCAGATAAGGCCGAGACCAGTCCCGGCTGGAACTAGTCTCGCGCGCAACCCGCGAGAGAGTATCCTTTCGATACTCGCCTTTCGATATGTCCGGGCTCTCTCGCGAGCCGCGGGCGCGGCACGGAACGTCCGGAGCGCGAGAGAGCGCGAGGGCGTGCGCGCACCGTCTCCGCGGAGAGAGGAGACGATGTCTCTGTCTCTCTGTCTTTCTCTCTCGCCCCCCCCCCCCCCTCTCTCATCACTCTCTCTCTCTCCCTCTCATCTCGCATCTCCGCGAGCCAATCGAGATAACCGGTAGTAAGTAGCTCGGTCGCTCTATTTCGCCGCCGCCGCTACTACTACTATACTTCTCGGGCACCTACGCAAACTGGTTCCTCTCCCGAGCCGGCCGGCCGGCCGGCGAACGCGTCGCTGTTTTCCACTGCCGAGCAGCCGTCCCCGAGCTGCCGACGCTCGTCGCTCGTTAAACGCGCGCCACGCGTGTACAAATATTATTAATGACAGGCGCGTTAGAATACGCACACACGATTTCGTGGAGACAGGTATCGCCGCCTGCTTGATATGCGTTCGCCGTTGCCTGCCCGCCTCCCCCCGCCACTCTCTCTCTCTCTCTCTCTCTCTCTCTCTCTCTCTCTCTCTCTCTCTCTCTCTCGCCATCTCCGTCGGTCGCTCTGTCGTTTCTTTCTCATTTCTCGATCGTACATATCGGACACACCGCGCGTGTCGTTTCCTGCTCATAACGAAGCGGTGCTTATCGGCTAGAGAAAGCGCCGCAAAAAAGCTCCCGCTGGTCCGGGAAGCGCTGTTAGTCTCTCACCTCCGCGCGCGCGCGAGAGAGAGAGAGAGAGAGAGAGCCTGTAATTTGTGTATCATATATCCAGAACCGTCGCGTCGCTCAGACTCCGAAGTCAGAGTTTGGTGCGGGAACGAGCCGGGGCGCGCTAACGCGTCGTAACGAGCGCGCGAGACCGGCGCGGCGGTGGGCACGTTTCGCGCGCTCGCCGTCCGCCGATCCCGCGCCGCGAGTAAATGAGTCGCGGGTAACGCGCGCGCGTCTGCCTGCTTAAGTACCGGCGATATTCCTCGGAGAGAAGCCAATTCGCCGCCGCCGCGTAATTTCCCGCTCGCGCTGCAACGCGCGCGCGATCTCACACGCGGCGCGCGATTTAATTATCTGGAATGTAACAGAAATGTAATCGCGCCACGAACTCGGAAATCGCCCCCGCGGAGACCCCGCGCTCTCCTATCTCGCGATATCGCCCCGCGATAATTTCGTCAATTAACCCTTTGTGGCATAATGGTAAGTGTATTTACCACCTATTTATTCTCACATTTTCATGAAATATTTCATAATTTGAGGGATCCTTGTCGGGTTTTTTGCGTTTTTTAGCTTCTTATATGATATGGGAACATACATGAAAGGTTGAAAAGTGTTTTGCATAACTTGTCCATTTATTATAAATAAACAAAGTAAATGCACATTTTTACAGAAAAAAATCACTTTCCACGAGCTATGAGTGAATTTTTTGCTCAAAATCAGGATTTGGGGGTTTTTTGGGTCGCTGATTACGAATCTGAGGTCCAAATACAAAAATTAATTTTCCAAGATGGCGGATTCAAGATGGCGGATCATAGAATTTTTATTAAATTAGCTAAAATTGTACTCTGGGTAGTTTTTAAGGCCGCTGATTACGAATCTGAGGTCCACATTCTAAAATTCATTTTCCAAGATGGCGGATTCCAGATGGCGGATCATAGAATGTACATAAAATTAGCTAAAATTGCACTCTGGTTAGTTTTTGCGCTCGCTGATTACAAATCTGAGGTCCAAGTACTAAAATTTATTTTCCAAGATGACGGATCACAAAATTTTTATATGATTAGCTGAAATTGTACTTTGGTTAGCTTTCAAGGTCGCTGATTACGAATCACCGATGTCACCGAAATTATCGCGATTTTTCATATTTGTAGCCGCCATCTTGAATTTCGAAAATCTGATAACGGATTCGTCATCAGCGACCCCAGAAACCCCCGTATATAAATTTTTATATGATTCGGATTTTCTGAAAAATACGTGCCTCAAAGGGTTAATACCGCGCCGACGCATGAGACCCGACATAACGCGTCGCGGTATCAGTGCAAAGTCGCCGAGTACCGCAAAGCTGATAAACACAGACTCGACGAGGTTGTTTCGAGCGGACCCACCTAGCCGAGATCGGCCTGATCGGGCTCGCTCGCGGTCTCGAAGGCGTCGCTACGTGAATCGGCGATTCCACTTTTTCGGCTCATTGCGGTTAACGAGCGACACGTAGGCGCGAAGGAGCGAGAGCGAGCGAGAGAGAGAGGGAGGGAGAGACCTCGGTCACGAGATACATCTCGGAGCGCGCGAAAGCAGCGGCAACGAGAGCACCGCATTATTCTTTCCCCGTCCCTTCCGCGAAACGTGTCGCGACGCGAGGGGATAAACCGGCCCCGCGGATCTCGTTTCGTGCGCGCGCGACTTGCGAAAATGGATCAGCGCCTCGGGAGAGACGCCATGTGTCAGGCAATTTGGCGCGCCGCCAGGACACCTCTCGCTGCGGAGTCCGTAGCGACGACGACTCGCGGAGGAGAAGACAGTGCGTTCCTTTGCGAACCCTTCAGCGGCTCGTGTTGTGTCTGCTGGCGTCGCGCGTCAAAGAGCGCGTCAACGTCCTAACCAGACGCGATTCGTCAAATCGTCGTTCGCCACGGTCTCTCTTTTTCTCTCTCTCTCTCTCTCTCTCTCTCCTCTCCTCCTTTCTTCCTCCGCTTTGTTTTTTCGCTGTCTCGCGCAGTTTTCACGTTCATTCCCCGCGCGAGCGTCGCGCTCACGTCCCAGGCCAGGCCGCGTGAGAAGGAGGATCGATCGGGCGAGGTCGCGCGCCAACTTCTGCAACCTCGGAGCTTCGGAAATAAATGGAGCGGAGGAAGTTGAAGAAGTTACACGGTACGTTCCGATCATTAAAGAACGATGTCGAAGGGGACGCGAGGTTGTTACGAGTTTCAAGTGTACTTGCGGGAATCGACAGGACAGGCTCGCTTAGGTCCGGACACGACGCGACGCGCCGGCGCGGCGATCCGAGGCGTAACGCCGCTGATTAAAGCGTCAAAATGTGACGGACTTTTTAGCCGAGCGACCGAGAGGAGATGATATTTATCGGAGCCAGTAGGTCGGCCGGGACACCATCTCGTTAAGTTCTCATCTCTACGAGACGCTTTCTCGAGAATCCGATCTCGTCGGGGAGATCGCTGGCGACCCGGACTCGCAGCGGCTTCAATTTTACCCGCGAAGTACGGGACTTCCGGGCAGTCGCTTAGTCACTCGTCGTCGTCGTTGTTGTTGTTGTTGTTGTTGTTGTTGTAACCAGACTCGTAAAAGTAATTACGAGTTGTAATCGAGAATATCGAGAATGTAATTTCGTGTGAGAACGACAAACACGCGCGAGAAAACGCGGTTCCAACGAGTTCGTAAAACCTCGAGTGTTTTCCTACTCGTCGGGTTTCGTCCTCGCAATTCGTTGTAATGAAATGTCCGGCGGGACATCGACCGCCTCGCTAACGTGCTAACCTCAGCGATACTCGAAAAGCCGAGGAATGCTAACGCGGCGGTCGGGCCGCACGAACGAGTCGAGTCGACAAATGCGGACAAGCTTGCGACGAAAATATAGTACATACCTCGCTCCTACGATGACTTGCTGCCGCGCCACGTCGAAGAGCAGCTGAGAGTAAGTCGTGACTCCATCCTGTTGGAACATGCTGGTGTCCGTTAAATCTGTAACACACAACGAGACAAGGGAGTTTAGTTTTAGTGGAGCTCGAGTTTTAGTCGGCTCGAGAGGGAGCTCGCGCGCGCCGAAATGAATTTCGCGAAAACCGCCCTGATGAGATGACCGCCTCTCCTCCGCGGGATCGTTCACTGCGAACGCTTTTACTTTCACGCCGACGCGACGCGACGGCCCGCCAACATGGCGGTCATTTAATCATAGGTACACATTCGGTGTCACAGGCACATTCGGCTTTGTTCTCCCCCGGGAACAGAACGATACGCGATCGAGCGAACGAGCGTCGCGGAGAGACAGGACATCGAGAGATCGTAAGCAAGCGCACACAATAGAGCAGGCAGTTACAGCCGCGGATCTATCGATCGCCGATCTGGCTGGCGAGAACCGGTACGCGGCAGGTGCGAAAAGCCGCCGCGCGAGGTGTCATAATTACCGAATCGAGCGTGTCGAAAGCGGCTTTCTTTTTCCGTCGCGTATTTACCCGCGCGGCGAGCCGCGCTTCAACCTGGACCAACACGACCTAGACATGACCGCCGGCACGGTTCTTCCCAGAGGATTGCTCTCTCTCTCTCTCTCTCTCTCTCTCTCTCTCTCTCTCTTGAGAGAGAGAGAGAGAGAGAGAGAGCATCTGAAATCGAGAGGGGCTCTCTATCGACCGCGTTTGTGGCGAACGCGGGTATCGTTATCGCGCCGTTCCCGGCGACGTTCCTCCTGCGACAAGTTCCGGCAGGGCCGAGGGGGGAGGAAAGAAAAAAGGACAGAGAAATAAATAAAGAATCGTCGAAACGAGGACCACCCCGCGCGACGACAATTGGCGACCCGTGTACAACGGGATTTACCTCGATTCCCCCTTTATATCTTTCACCCCGGCACTATAAGCCAGACGGGGGGGGGAGGAGGGGGGCAGCTTTATGTCCCGCGATGTCACGCTATAATATTCCATACACGCTTCACGCGCGCACTCGAGTACGTGCATTATCGTGGCATAACGATCGACTTACGAGACTGCGTCGTAAAGCAGGCTTCGATCTTCGCGGCGAGGCCGAGGGGAGCGGAGCGGAGCGGGGCGGAGAGCGAAGCGAAAATACGGAGAAGGCTGGAGAAAGAAAAGGCCGCGAAGAACGTGTCGGGCGTTCCTCTCCTTTGGTTAACGATCCCGAAGGATTCTTCCTTCTTCCTCGCAGCTTCCCACTGTGTTTTCTTTGTGCCTCCCTCCTTCCCTCCCTCCCATCCTCCTCCTCTCTCTCTCTCTCTCTCTCTCTCTCTCTCTCTCTCTCACATTCTCTCACACATTCTCTCCTTCCTCGGTCTCTCTCATCTTCACTTCTCCGCGCACATCGCCCTCGCTCTTGCACCGGAGCGCCACGCCCTGCGCACTAATCTCTATAAAAGCACGATTCCGCGATGCATTATTTGCAAAGAGGAGGAGCGTAATAGACTCTGCGTGATAACCGGCTCGACTTAGCAGAGCATTTCGGAACGTCGAATCGACGGCATCGGTCTCCGCCGACGACTTTTTCACGTCCGCTTGATGAAGGAGGCCCCCGTCGGCGTCCCGCGCCCTCTCACGGCCGACTCTCCGGGGTGCGACGAGTACAGAACAGCGCGCGATCGAATGCTTTCCAGGATAATTAATTCCACGACCATTAATTCGCGAGGCGTCTCGATGCGGCCTCGAGGCGCGAGCGACGCGTGTCGCGTTACTCGAGGCGTCGCAACTTTGAGCCGTTAAGCTCGAGCCGACCGCTCCGAGATATCGGCCGTTGATGTCACCTCGCTCCGCTTTAGCCGGCCAATGAATGATGAGAGATATCAATTACGGACCAGCGTCGCGCGCTCGAGAGAGAGAGAGAGAGAGAGATCTCGCCAGGCTGGCTGGCCGCGGCTGACGCAAGTATAGCGTTCACTCTACTTTATCAATTTTCCGTTGCGGACGCGCGCGCTGGCGGCTGGGATAATGCGCTCCAGGACGAAATTGCATCGTTGCGCCGAGAACGGCGCGCGGTCGTGCCGCGCCGTGCGCTTACCTTGTACCTCCGTAGTACCTCCGAGTGAGTGATCCGTGCGTCCTGGAGCGCGAGCGAGCGAGCGAGCACGCCACGCTACCGTGAACGCGCGCCGGCGGACCACCGGGCCAGCTATGTTAATACGGATAATTGCGTTATGTGAACCCCCCTGCCCCCCCTCCCCGCCCACCCGCCGTCCTGCGCCGTCCTGCGCCGTCGCGATCGCGCGCCACGTGTGCGGGCAGGGACGCAATTCGTCACGCGGCGGATTGCGATGACGACGGCGACGACGGCACGATTTCGTCCAGCGGACGCTGATGAGCCCGATCGGGGCCTCGATCATCACGAGGGGCGAAAACAGAGATTCTCTCTCTCTCTCTCTCTCTCTCTCTCTCTCTCTCTCTCTCTCTCTCGCGCGCGCGCGCGTTGCAACGATCGGCAGATCTCCGTCGAGGATTAAGAACGCGCGGAATATTCCGCCGCGTCTCGGGCTGTTTTTATTTGAATAATAATTAAAAACGTATCCTTTACGAAGGCCGTAAAAGCCAATTGCGCGCCGACCGCCACGCTCGCTTCGCTTAATTCCTTCTTCCTCTGTGCGCCTCCGCCTTTCTCTCTCTCTCTCTCTCTCTCTCTCTCTCTCTCTCTCTCTCTCTCTCTCTCTCTCTCTCTCTCTCTCTCTCTTCCCTTAGAGCCGATTAAACGTTGCGTTTAATACCGGCCGGCGCTTTCGTAGAGCACGCGCTATTTCGAAAGAGTTAACGTGCTAATCCCCGCCGCGAGTCCCCGCGCGGCTCGCGGGGGTAACGAGATCTCTCGCCGAGAGATGACGGAGATTACGCGGGGAACAGGAGTTACCACAAAGCAGCCGAGCCGTAACGATAAATTACCTGGAGAATCCGGTCAAGTTAATCGATAGTAGCTAGGAGGGTGCGTGCCGCCTGCCTGCACGTTCAAGACCGAGAGTAAGCGATGCGTCGGAACTGGGCGGCGGCGGGAGGGGGAGAGGGGAGCAGGGAGTGACTTTTGAATAAAGCCTCGAAACACGCTGCCTCGTGCGCGCATGCAATTTCGTGCATGCTCGATGCGTCTAATTACTTAGCCGGTCAGAGATCAAAGACGAGTAAACGCGCATATTAACATCCTTCGGCGCGGTCGGCTTGAAAAGGCGGAATAATAATGCTCGTCCTACGCGCGAGATCGAGCGTCCTCGAAGTTTCCTATACGAATTGTCGCCGTCCTCTCCGTCACGTCGACGACGCGTCGTCGACGTAACGCGGCGCTCGCCGCGCGATAGATAGAGTTGTCCGTTGATCTGAATCGAAACGAGTCCGCGAGCGAGATCGATCGCAGCGTCGGCACTTGGGTGGTCGGGCGACGGTACGAGAGCAAATCGGGGTAAACTTGAAGTGAGCGAGGCCCGTTGATTGGCAGAATATTAATATTAATTGGTCTTCGAGGCTCTTATCGGTACGCGATCTCTTAATTGCGCTCCCGCAGCCGCTCGGCCGCCGGCGCGGCGAGCCGCCGTCTAAGCCGTTATTTAAGTCCGATAGCGCTTACGTCAGCGCGGGCTGACCTTTTTATTATAAATCGTGATGCACGGCCCCGGACGAATCGATTACGCCTGCCACGTAACGACCCGGCGAGATTAGACAGAGACGGCGAGAGGAAGAACGAGGAGAGAGAGAGAGAGAGAGAGAGAGAGAGCCGCTCGGCGGTGGGACAACGCCATCGAGCGTCTCGCGCTACTTTTTAACGCTCCGTCGGCTCCTTCGCCTCTCGGGACTCTCGGATTACGTCGAAATGAAAAGAATCCGTAGAACGAGATCTGCAAACTTTCCCCCCGCCTCTAGCATTTTTTTTATCGATCGCCCCGGCAAGAGGCGAACAAGCGACTTTTCCGAGCGTCTTAGAAACGCGCTCGATCACGAATTCAGCCGGTTATTATTCCGACGTGATCCGTCAAAGTTTTCAGCATAAATTTCTCCTCGCTTCCGCGCGCGTCATAGTTCAAGATGGCCGCCGCGACGAGAGGCAGAAGAGTCCCAAGCTCTGCGGACGGAGAAATAATGCGAGCGACATTGAATCGTGTCTCTGAGCGAGTCTAGATGTTACCGATTGTTTGAAAAAAAAAAAAAAAAAAAAAAGAAAGAAAAAACTAGACCACTTCTCTCGTGTGACGTCACGACCTCTAATATACTCCGATTTAGCGGATCTGCCTGGCGACGGCCGCCGTTCCGGCCGTCTTTTTCTGCGTAGGTAGGTGAATCGCGCGCCGCGAAGGATCATCGCGTGTGCGTTATCAGATTGGCGCGCGCGCGCGCATCCTCCCATTATCCACGTGCGCAGACGGCCGTTTAGCTGCACTTGGCTCGACCACGTGGGTGGCTCGACTTTGTTCCGCGATAATTCCCGTCCGTCGATTCACCTCCGCCCCTCGTCGCCCTTTTTTTCTCTCGCTCGGATATTCGCGAAATTGCCCTCCGCAAATAAGGACGCGTCGATGCCGGTCCCCGCTCTTGCATAATACTCTCGCGCGTGCAACCGTACGCCTCGAGCTCCACCTCGCCGTCCTCTCTCTCTCTCTCTCTCTCTCTCTCTCTCTCTCTCTCTCTCTCTCTCTCTCTCTCTCTCCCTCTCCCTCTTGCTTCTCTGCCCTCTGTGTCCCTCTTTCCTCTTCTGCCTCGCAAAATTTTCCCCTCGCTTCGTTCGCACCGGCGCGGCGGATGCAATACGTGGGTGGTTCACGGTGGTTCAACCGATAATTTTCGAAATTGGCCGCAAGGAGGCGGCAAAATGTGAAATCGCGCGTGCGTCGTCGTCGTCGTAGTCGGCGAGACACTGGCGATTTGGCGAGTAAAGCGTGTCAGGACGAAGGAAGAAGCGACAGTCGGAAAGGCAAAAAAAACGAGCGACAAAAGACGAAGGGAGAGTAAAGACTCTCGATTATTTTCCTTCGCAGAAAAAATCTCTCTCTCTCT